TGCTGAGGTGATATCTAGGGGTCTTTGCTGAGGTGATGTCTAGGGGTGATATGACCTCTCTCAGGTTGGATCTGAGGTGATATCTAGGGGTCTTTGCTGAGGTGATGTCTAGGGGTGATATGACCTCTCTCAGGTTGGATCTTGTTATCTGTTCTCTCCTTATGCCTGCTAGGCCACATGCCTTTCAGGTGCCCTAGGGCTATCTTGCCCTTCAGATCTGTACTGGTGGCTCTGTCCCAGGGACACTGACAGAGGTAGCCCTGGATCCCAGTGCTCAGAAGCTGCTGGAGGAAAATACGAAGTACAAAGGGCTGCAGGTGAACAAGAGCAACAGAGTCTAGGTGGCATATATGGTTAAGAGACCTTTTAACCAAAGCCTATATGTTAGTGTGTGTATGTTTTGCAATGATGCTTTCTCTGATTGGCCTTTGAAACGATAACTTCTGCTGAGTGATGTTTATGAAATTAAAGTTTTGGAGCTTTGACGATAGCTAATGTAACATTATCCTATGTATTGTGTCCGGCTGGGATGAATTTACGAAGTTAACTTTCTTCATAGAAGCCCATATGGTGCTGCGCTTTGCATTTGTGGCTAAAAGTGTTGATAACACACCAGTGTTTTAGCTGTTGCTGAACAGTGCTTGCACAGTGTCAAGGCTTTCTCTCCCGATCCACAAAGGCCAGTAGGCTGGGGATGGGCAAGAGGTTGGGAGGGGACATAGCCAAGACAGCTGACCCAAACTGACCAAAGGGATATTCCATATCATATAACATCATGCTCAGCAATAAAAGCTCAGGGAAAGGAGGAGGAAGGGAGTAAGTTCATGGTTAGGGTGTTTGTCTTCCCAAGTAACTGTTGTGCGTGCCAAGGCTCTGCTTTCCAGGAAGTGGCTGGACATCTGCCTGCCAGTGGGAAGTAGTGAATGAATTCCTCTTTTTGATTTGCTTGTGCATGTAGCTTTTGCTTTCCCTATCACACTGTCATTATCTCAATCCACGTTTCTTTTTGCCTTCCTTCTATTTTTCTCCCAGTCCCCTGGGAGAGGGGAGTGAGCAAGAGCAGGGTAGATGTTTGGCTGCTGGCCTGGGTCAGCCCACCACACCCTGTATGCCACAAGTGTTTGAAACTGCAGGTTAAATTTAGGGGCGATTCTTAAGATTTCTTTTTCTTATACAAACATGTGAAGTTCATGTGCTGACCATGTTTCCATAGACCTTTCTAACTTCTCATAAAGGAATCTGGATTTTCACTCACTTTGGAGTACTGCCACACTTCATTTTGGGCAGACTTTTGCTACCCAGAACATCATAAAGGTTTCTTAAAGGACATTTTCAAGAGTCTAAAACTGCTCCTGAGGTAGGGGTTTTTTTTAATTTTTTGTTTTGAGAGCACTTGAAACCTCATCTCTTGCAATTTTTCTGGAGGCTAGATGCCTGGCAAGATTGGTTTTTGAGATGTTAATCTACCACAAGCTCTTTCATGTTTTCTCCTTCTTTCTACTATAGATTTTGAGTTCTTTTTTAAAAAAAATACTTTGTTTTTTTGTGTGATGAGCAGCCCTCACACTTTTGTAATAGTTTGAAAACTTCCTCTGTTTAAGGTGATGGATACTATTAAACACAAACAGTGCATCCCTATTGCCTTAAGCCCTGATTGACCAATGTAGGTTAATTTTATTATTATGCATACATAGAGTTCAACATACATAAATGGTTGGCTCTGAAAGTATATAAGCTCCACCTCAGGACTATACTAATATGACAGTGCTCTTCCTGGGATACATCTGGCATGTATCTAGGTAGTCAGGACTGTTGGTGGAGGAAATTTGTTACCGTTTCTACCTGAGCATGTAGATATGCTCCTAAGGACTAGGTCTTTAAAAGTGAGACACTGCAGTGTTAGCTCTTTCCCCCATTTCCCTTTTTAAGTGGTGAGAAACATCCAAATAATAATTCTTTTGAGAAGGATGGAGTAGAAAGGCCAAAGGAGGTGCTTCCTTTTTTTTTTATTCTGCCTTTTTAAAAAAAAAGAAGAAACAATATGAGCAACAACAACTTTGATAAATGGAGAGAACAAACACTAATTAGAAAATATTCTTTCTGAAGATGAAACTTATTGAGAATTTTTCATAACTTAATGAGGAGAAAAGAGCTTTCAGGCATTTGCATTTGTAGAACTGATATGGGTAATAGGGTTTATTCTAGATATTAGGCACTCATATTTAAACCATTTATTCTTTTATGCTTAAATATTGTTTTAGTATCTAATGCATCCCTTTGAATGTCCATGTATGATCTGACATGGAAAGAGTCTTAAAAACTGAACAGCAGTAAAACAATATGCCTATCCCCTATCTTTGACCTCTAATGATGACAGTGATTCAGAGCGCCCAGTCTAGGTAGCCAAAAGTTTTAAATAGCTAATGAGGACATGTGTGGGCTTCCAGAAGGTGTTCAGAGCTCCTAAGATGGATCTTTAACTTTTAGATAATGACGCTCCTTCTGCATCAATGCCAACTTTATGGAGCTGTGGGAGGTAAAGAAAAGCTGAGTTGCCCAGGTCTATCTGGGAAGATCTGAAGACTTACAATAGAAACTGATTTGCAGAATAAAGATCTGCAGAGCATTTTGCAAGCATATTATGCTGTGAATGCATTATTCTGATCCTGCAAAGACTTAAATATAACTTAAAAATACTATTTAAATTAATGTACTTAGTTTTAAGCATGGTGAATGGGCCTGTTTGTGATATTATGTCAAGATACTTTTGCTGAGAGTCATTAAAAATGCAGGGATTAGCAACATACTCCAAAGTAACTGATAAAAGGAATCAGTATCTGGAATGCAGTGAAAAGAAGTAGTTCAGGAGCAAGAGAAAGCTGAATTTTCCAGTCAGTGAGATCAAATTGAAGTATGCATGAGGCTTTTCAATTTGTAATACAGTAAATATGCCATGTGCTTCTTGTGAGAGATACCTTGTTAATTGTAAACAATCATTCAAAGAAAAATCTATATTCAGTTACAGAAGCACTTTTGGTGATCTGCCATAATGCTACTTTCTCCTTTTGGTGACCTAATATACTGACTACTGTGAAGAAGCTTATGTTTTGGAAATAAAAATTCAGTAAAGGAATTTGTGGTACAAGATTCAAACAAGGAATGATGAAAAGGAATTTTGTATCAGGAGTAAGAAAATTAAACTCATAGTATTTTGTGCTTTCCTCAATATAAGTTTATATCCGTCTTTTCTTGGACTGGATTCACATGTAGACGTACTTTTCAAAACCAGGTATTAGAAAGAAAGAATTATCAGAATTACACAGATAAAATATCTGTAGTGAACTTTAGAGTAAATTAAGAAATTGAACCAGAGTGTTCAGTGGTGTCATCATTTGTTGTTTGCTTTTAAAAAAAAAAAGGAATATAAAAGAATTTTGCAGACTATTATAAAATCCTGTTGATGTGAATAGTCCCATTACATCTAACACCCCTGCTTGCATAAAGCTACAGAAAAAAATTATTTCCTTCAGGTTCCTGAGTCCTACTGCGTAACAGAGAATTGAGAGGTGAAAGATGACAGTTGCTCTTTCACAGCAGGATACACCAGCTCAGTACTTGTAGTCAGATCTTAACTCAGAGATAATTGTCACAGATTGGCAAGAATTTTCAATATGGAACTATAGTTCTTTAAAAAAGTTATACAATCTAGAGGAGGAAAAATTTAAAAAAACCTTACAAATATAAAAAAATATGTTTTTGTAAGCAAGAAAAGAGCTAGTTCATGCTGGCAAGACAAAAAGCAATGCATTTAAGCTGCAGAAAGGGTATTTCACATTCAGTAACAGGAAAAATATTTGAAATTATACATGAAAAATGGGAGAATAGAAAAAATATCTTCAAGAAAAAAATTCTGATACTTAACTATTAAATCCCAGTATTATTAATCAATACATCTAATCCTGCCAATAGTGTAAATGAGATGGCCTCATGACCTTTCAAAAATCTCATCTAGCTGAGGACTGAGCTAGCACAACAGTAGCACTATATCCATCTTTTCCTTTGGTAACTCAAAAGAGATGAACTTCACAAAAAGAAAAGCAGAACTGTAAATACTGTGCATAGGGCTTATTAATTATTTCCAGTCACAAAATACCACCATCTATTAAGAAAGCACTCCCAAGGCATGCAACCATGCTGCTCATCTAGGGCGGAAAAATACTGTGAAGTCATTATCTTTCCCAAGGACAGAAAAGGTATTGGAGAAACTCTTGAGCTTTTTATAACGAAGCAATGCCTATGGATGTAACTTATGTTCATCAGTTATATACTTTATACCAAAAAAGGAAAAGCCTTTATTATAAATAGGCCTAAAGTGCATGCTGGTTTTCAGATTATGAAAGGTAATGTATTTGGTTTGTGGAATTTTGGGTGTTTGGGAGAACAGTTCTTCTGTCTTGCCTAGCACGTCTCTGCTCTGACTTTCTGCATTACTGTCTTTCTGATTTCTAGGGTAAATTATATTTTTAATTAATCACTTCAGAAATTGAAGCTGTCAGTGACCTTTTAAAATGACTATACATACACAGCACAGTGTTAGATGAACATTGATTTTTTTTATTTTTTTTTCCCCCCTCCAGTGCGAAGTTTAGAGAACGAGTTTTCATACTGAGAGGATAATTATACTTGAATTTTGTTTCTTCATGTTTTAGAATTAAGCCTTTTGATCATGAGCTTTTTTTTAACTATTAAAGTCCAAGTAACCAAGCAAATATGTGCAGAAATTCACATCATTATTATTATAAGTGCATTCACTGTGCATCTGGGGGGGGGGGAACAGTTTCCACTCATTTTGGCCTTAAATGTTGTGTCCAGGTTTCCAGGATTCCAACATCAGAACCCAGATAACACTGATTAGAACCATAGGGCTTTACAATAAAAGCTAAAATATTGACCATATGATGGCAAAAAGTCATTTTTTTGTGTGTTTAACTTATTCTCTTCTAGCTACTCTCTGATGAAGTTGGTGGTGCTGTGGAGGAGGATCTCCTTCTTCTTGACAAAGACCATGATCGCTCAGCACTGTAGGCAACATGTTTATAATTTTGTATCTGAGCCTCGAGGAGATCCCTCTGTTGTTGGCTGATTGTCTGGCTAATCAGTCCAGGGAGAGCTTGAATGCTACCAATTAAAGTTTCCAGTTTAGTTTCCAGAGTAACGATTCTCTTCTCAAAATCTTCACTTCTTTCATTTAAGTCAGAAATCATGTCATACATGATGTTTTGAGTCTGAAAGTAGAAGGTTGTAAAAAAGGTTTAGAGAGATCTTACAGATATTGTAACATGCAGTGCAACTCTACAAGGGTTCTTAAATGCTTTTGCATTTCACAAAAAGAAGATATGAGTAGTCGAACAAGATCTAATTTTACTTGCAGATGCGTGACAGACTCCCTGCTGGTGCTAAATTTATTGAGCAGAAATGTAACATTGATATTTTGAGTAGCATTTTAAATGTCAAGCTCTTATTGAATTCAACAAAACACCAGACCTTTTTAGAAGTGTAGATGCTCAGAAATGCACCATCATAAGATTTGTGAACAGAATTAGTTGTGTAAGTCACAAGGAGACCAAAGGTTCCAAAGCACAGTGATGCGCCCTTCACTTTTCTCTATTTCCTCTGGTTTTTAAACTCCTCCATACTTTTAAAAAGAAAACAATTTGCTTGTTTTCTCCTTGAACTGTGCTTGAACCTGTTGTAATAAGAGTAGTTGGGCAGATTGTTTTTGAAATGTAGAGCAAGGAGTAAAAACTCAAGTGTACGCTCCTCTACTGCCTGACCACTTCAGGGCTGACCAAAAGTTAAAGCATGTTATTAAGGGCATTGTCCAAATGCCTCTTAAACGCTGACAGGCATGGGGCATCGACCACCTCTCTAGGAAGCCTGTTCCAGTGTTTGACCACCCTCTCAGTAAAGAAATGCTTCCTAATGTCCAGTCTAAACCTCCCTTGGTGCAGCTTTGAACCATTCCCACGCGTCCTATCGCTGGATACCAGGGAGGAGAGATCAGCACCTCCCTCTCCACTTTCCTTCCTCAGGAAGCTGTAGAGAGCAATGAGGTCACCCCTCAGCCTCCTTCTCTCCAAACTAGATAAACCCAGAGTCCTCAGCAGCTCCTCACAGGACATGCCTTCCAGCCCTTTCACCAGCTTTGTTGCCCTCCTCTGGACGCATTCAAGGACCTTAAGATCCTTCTTAAATTGAGGGGCCCAGAACTGCACACAGTACTCAAGGTGAGGCCGCACCAATGCTAAATACAGTGGGATAATCGCCTCTTGTGAACGGCTGGTTATACCGTGTTTGATGCACCCCAGGATGCGTTTTTCCCTCTTGGCTGCCAGGGCACACTGCTGGCTCATATTGAGCCTGTTGTTAGCCAGCACCCCCAGATCCCTTGCTGCAGGGCTGCTCTCCAGCCACTCCTCTCCCAATCTATACTTGTGCCTGGCGTTACTCCGTCCCAAGTGCAGAATCCAGCATTTGTTCTTGTTAAATTTCATGCCATCGATGATTGCCCAATGCTCCAGTCTATCTAGATCCCTCTGCAAGGCCTCTCGTCCCTCGAGAGAGTCAACAGCACCTCCCAGTTTAGTGTCATCAGCGAACTTGCTAATGGTACATTCAACTCCTGCATCCAGATCATTGATAAAAATATTGAACAGAACTGCCCCTAGAATTGAGCTTTGAATTAAATAATAAAAATAAACTGACATTAAATATACTGAGGCTGCGTTTAACTTTTAGGTTCACCCAAATTTAGCTGTTAGTGTGTAAAGCAGTCTTGTTTCACATTGAAGCTTACTAGATTTTTAGTCACACAGCTTTCTTCCATTCTTAATGTATTTCTCCCATTAATTTACTCTCTCCTCATTCCTTCTTTATACCTGCTTTACTATCTCCAGAAAATAGAGAAGAACATCTCTGAATCTAGCTTCCCAAATACAAATTCCACTACTAAACAGAAAAATAAATTAACAACTCACTGGAAATCCTTAATCACATACCGCCTTAAAAAAAAAAAAAAAGTATCTGCACTTTCTACTTACTTACTGATGCACCCAATGAATTTTGCAAAAGCTTCCAATTAAGACCCAGTCCTCTTCAATTAGTTCCGAGCTATCAAAGTTTCTGTGTCCAACAGCCCTCAAGAATCCTTCAAAAAATTCCCTTGTAATTTTGCTGCATTTCCCCATCCCATTTCTCTCCTGTCCTCCATACCAAGATTTCTAGCTTTGCTGTTCCTTCTCCCTGCGTTCTCCATCCCCACATTGAGTGAAGTTCGTGGAAAAAATAGTCAGACTCTGGCTCTCTAATGAGATGAGGGAAAAAATGGGATAATAAAAGTTTCTTTGCTTCCTCACATCCCACAAAGAGCAAAAGAGGAGAAAGATGGCCAATGCAGCTTAAGGCTGAGCACTTCAGAAATGCACCCGGCCTTTTGACAAGAGGACTAGGCAGGAGCTGCCCTACCCTATGTTATACAACAGAAAGAACCTCCCCAGAAAACAGACAAGTCTTCTTCCATCTCCTTCTTGTGAAGGAGGGCAGGAAGGAACAAGTAATATGCAGGAGGCTTCTCTGAGAGGAAAAGAAAATTATTCCATACAATAGTGTATTGGGTATATATGGCAAGAACAGGAAGAGAAAAAAAAGAAGTCTTTTGGCCCAGTAAGTCAGGATAACACTCTGGGCCAAATGTTGATTCAATGACATAACTCTGAATTGCGCCTGCTTACAGCAAGAATGCCAAGATGGTATGAGATTAATAATACAGAGTGGCTTCCTCACCACTTGCAAAGCGGCACAAAAGCTATCATGGAAGAGAAATATTAGAAAAAAACCCTCCCCACCCCCACCCCCCAAAAGGCTAGAGAAAGGGCAACAGATAAAAGCAATTCAGTTTGATATTAAATTATTCCAGGCCTTTAGGATGAATTATCATGTTACTTAAAGCGTCACAGCAGTTATAATGACCAAAATCTGTTAAAGACAGTAGCTTTATGTCTCATATGAAAGACATTGCCTGCAGCAGTAGAACATAGTCACTGATAGGCTATGGAAACCACCTCTATGGTTTATTATACCTATCTATCTGCTATCTTCCTTATCACCAGAACACTTTACTGCAACTGCAAGGTATTCTAGATTCAGGCTACCCCTCTTGGCTTTGTGGGATATGACAAGATCTCAGGATTTTAAAATGGGCTGTTTTAGCATTTCAGCAAAAGATAAAAGTAAATTACTATCTTCATGTTTATTTTTTGCAGTACTTTGAAGGAAAACAAATTATGCTCATTCTTTAAATGACTAACAGCTTACAGAAATAACACATTGAAATCCTACTTAAAGGACTGTGGTGGGTTGACTTGGCTGGACGCCAGGTGCCCAACAAGCCGCTCTGTCGCTCTGTCACTTCCTCTCCTCAGCAGGACGGGGGGGAAGAAAATAAGATGGAAAGAACCTCGTGGGTCGAGATAAAGGCAGTTTAATACAAAAAAAGCAAAGGCTGCACGCGAAAGCAAAGGAAAACAAAAAGATTTATTCTCTACTTCCCATCAGCAGGCGATGTTCAGCCATTTCCTGGGAAGTAGGGCCTCAGTACACGTAGCGGTTGCTCCAGAAGACAAACGCCTTAATAACGAATGCCCCCCTCCCCTCCTTCTTTCTCTTAGCTTTTATTGCTGAGCACGACATCATATGGTATGGAATATCCCTTTGGTCAGCTTGGGTCAGCTGTCCTGGCCATGTCGCCTCCCAAGATCTTGCCCACCCCCAGCCTACTGGCCTTTGCAGGTGGGGGTTTTGGAGAGACAACCCTGATGCTGTGGGAGCACTGCTCAGCAGTAGCAAAAACATTGGTGTGTTATCAACACCTTTCCAGCTACCAATACAAAGTACAGCACTATGAGGGCTGCTATGGGGAAAGTTAACTCCGTCCCAGCCAGACCCAATACAAGTACATATTCTAATTAATAATTTATGTTACAGTGCTCTGCACTTTTATATGGTTCCTCTGTTGATCTCAGCATCCTTAAAAATACTAATAAAGCGTGAATTATCCCAAATCTTGGGATCCAAATACTGTTATTTTAAAATGGTAGCATCATACTCACTATGTTTTTTAATATCCCTATTCACGTGAAAATCAATAACATGAATTCAATTAATTCATGCTCATACACCCAGGTTTTTTCTTATATCACTACTACGTACTGCAGAATCCCTTTTTTTACCAAAATAACTTAGCCTAAGTACAAGTACCATATTATTTCAACTGCAAGAAAGTCTCTTTTGAGAATAAAATTCTAAAAATGTCTTATTTTGCATTACTGGATTTTATAATTTCCAATACCATTCCTTTTATCCTGTTTTAAAGTGAATAGTTGTGCTGGTTTTGGCTGGGATAGAGTTAATTTTCTTCATAGTAGCTAGTATGGGGCTATGTTTTGGATTTGTGTCTAAAACACTGTTGATAATACAGGGATGTTTTCGTTATTACTGAGCAGTACTTACACAGAGTCAAGGACTTTTTTTTCTGCTTCTCATACCACCCCACCAGCGAGTAGGCTGGGGGTGCACAAGAAGTCGGGAGGGGACACAGCTGGGACAGCT